GGAGTGGAGGGATGAAGACAGCAGGACCGTAGAGGGAGTGTGCTAATGTGGTGGGAATCCAGCCAGTTCAGGCGCACCTGTGACGTGGCTTGGCAGGGAGACCCAGCCCGGAACTGCCATAGCTGTCATCCACTGGCTTTCCAGAGGTGAGACCAAGGCAGTATGGGCCCCACATTTGACAGAATTCCCAGATTTGACCTTGGACAAATTATTCAATTCTTCTCTGCCTCAGTTTCCTCATCTGTAGAATGAGGATAATTAAAGTACCTAATGACATTATCATGGGGATCAAGTAATCTTTATAAATCAGTTACAATAGTACCAGGCACATAGTAAGCATCATATGAATGCTTGATAAATACATTACCAAACCTCCCCAAGGTCTGCGTGGTGGGGATCTGAGCCACCGCACTTGGTCCTGGCCCCTCATCTCTGTGGGGTGAGCAGGGGAAAGAGGGGGTGCTGACTGCCATCTGCTAACAATAACTAAGAAAACAGCCAAGGCCTGAACAGAGCTTGGCCAGTTGTCAAACTAGACAGTTCCAGATTTGCCCCTTTATGTGACATGGAAATCAAAAGCTGTTTTATTCCAAAGCTACAGTGAAATACCCAACTAGAGTCTTTCTGCTCAGTAGAAAAGGTCCTCAAAGTTGGTTGGACTTCCTGACAGAGCATGTTGGCTGGAGCGAGAGAAAGTTAGAGCTCTTCCCCTCTTGTTTTGGGAAATGCTTTGGCAGAATTAGCTCCCTGGGAAATGTGCTCTGCAGAAAGGTTCTGTTCTGAGTGGGGTACTCATCCCGCATCAGTTTATCTAATTGGGCCCCACAAATCCGGGGCTCTTGTCCCTGGACAGGCGGGCTTGGCTCTGTGCTCAGCTCTCCTGCCATCATTCTCTGGAAACTCTCTTTTCTCCTGGCGTTAATAGAAACCTCTTACTGTCCTGGATGATTCTCACTTAGAAAATGCATGCATGCTGCACCCAGAAGGAGGCAGCATAGTTTGGAGGTGTGGGGACGGCCGCCGGTGGAACACTGATCTGTGTGCCCTTGTCTCCCAGATGGGTTCTGCTAACGTTTCCACCCAAGAACCTGGCAGCCACTGGGAGTGGCGGCACACCCCGTTTTGGGGGGCAGCATGAACTCTTGGGTACCTGACGATTCATCAAAGCCTCCTATTTTACAAGAGCGTCATACAAATGTGTACTCCACTCCATACTGTGCACACACTTGTTTTAGTATCAAACATCTCCACCTCCCTGCCTCCCTCCCATCTGCAGTTACAGTAGAGGGAGAAGTGTACATTGGCCCTGTGACTTTGAGCACCCCACTTAGCACATGCAGTGGGAATCACTACCACTTACAAGTGTTTTCTGTAGGAACTAGGGGATTTCCAACTGAGCAGGGCGCTTTGACTTTTACATTGAAATGTCCTTGAAGTACAGTTGCACTGTTTTTTGTTTGTCTGTGTTTTTATTTTTATTTTCAGCATGCATGCATGCAAGGAGGACCATCGAAGGATTTTGTTCATTGTTGGGTCTCCCACAAACCTAGCTCCTAGCACATGAAAGGCTTCTAATTAATATTTGTGAGTTGTTAAATCGGGGACTTCTTCCTTCGATCAATAGCACACTGGATGTCTGCTCTGTCTCAGGCTTCTCAAGAGGGACTGGAGGTCCTGAAAGTGTAAGACAGCCCCGACCTTCTGTCTACTGGCTGACAGAAGACAGGGGCAGGGAGTAAAATAACAATTCCATAAAGTGGGGTAAACATGACCCTCACACAAGAAGCTTAGCTCATTTCCAAATGCGTGTTGCTTTTCACTAAGGCAGGCCCGGTGGGGCTTAGTAAAGGTGGAAAAGCCCTTCTCAGGACTGCTGTCTAACTTCAGCTTAGAATGACAGGATTTCAAGGGTGGCAGGCCCTTACAGCCATCCAGTCCAGCTCCATTTAGAGCCGTATAACCTCAAATGGCCTGCCCAGTGTTCTCTCTTCTCTGAACGACCAACCTCATGTCAGGACAACTCTGACTCTGAGGCAGCTGTCCTGGGGTGGCCTTGGATTAATAAGCCCCCTTCACAACTCCCTCCACTTACCCCATCACTACTTCCAATAGACTTACAATGACTCTCCAAGTCCTCCCAACAGCTGCCTGGCTCCAGGCCCCCATGCCAACCAGTCACCTCTTCTCTCACGAGGAGAATGGAATAGCCCGTTAGCCTGCTTGCCTGTCTGCAGCCCCTTTTCTTCCACCCCATGTGTACTCTGCTGCCAAAGGGACTCAGACCCCATCACCACAATCCATTGCTTAAGAACCTCCCTTAGTTTCTCCATTTCTCCCTTTGCTTTTAAGGTGAAGTCTAAACTTCTTAGCATGGCAACTGATGACCACCATTGTCTGCTCAAACTAACTCTTAAGTCTCATCTCTCTTATGCCCCATTGAAAACTCTAAATTCCATCCACACCAAACCCGATTTCTATTTCTCAAGTCTGCTCTACTTTTTCTTGCCTCTGCCCAGGTGGAGCCTCTGCTTGGAATGTTCTTCTCTCTTTCTACACCTGGGAACTGTCCCACAACTTTCAAGATCCAGATCAAACAAGCCTCGAATGTTTCCTGAGTTCTGCCAGCCTGGGGTCCCAGAACACCCTCCGCCTCCTTTCTGCTCTCATCACCCAGTGTGGTGTGTATCTACATGCCCATGAGCTCCTCCAGGGTAGGGGCCCTATTTGACTCACATCTGCATCCCTGTTGCCCAGACCCCTGAGCTTCATAAATGTTTGATGAATGACTGAAGGAAAGAATGTTTATTATTGGAAAATTGCTCCTCAGAGCTGTGTGCGTCTGTGTTGCCAAGAGATGTTTTCGTCAAACCTGGTTTCTCGGTGTCAGAATCGAGCGCCGTCCCTATTCATCCCGAAGCATTGGAAATTCTGAAGGGCTTCCCAGGGTTAGAGGGAAGGCATTAAACAGAAAGTCGGGATATGAGATGGAACACTAAGATATGCAAATGCCTCTCTTCTTTGTAGGCCAACGGGGGAGAATTGCACTAGATTATTTTGAAATTAATTCAGCCTGTGTCTGGGGAGTTTAAATGCAGCCCTCAGAGGAGTAAATAATGTATACTGTGCAACCGAAAAGGAGATTTAAAATGCACAACTAAAAGCTCCTTTCAGCCCAACTTCTGCACTGGAAAATTCTAGTTGGTAGGAACCCCATGAAATGTGCAAAGATTAAAACCTGTTGCAAGAAAACATATCTAAGCACATGGCTTTAGTTATTTAAGAGTCTCCCAACATCCTCTGGCCTTGTCAAGAGCAGCTCTTAATCACGGTGGCCTTGGGGATAGATTCCAGGTTGCTTGATAAATATTGATGATTTTGCTTTAAACAAAGATTTCACAAATGTTAATTTCAAAATATCAAGTAAGAGTAGCTCTCTGGATTTGCAAATAGGAATTTAAAAGTATCATTTTCAAACAGTTTCATTAGGAGAAGGATCAAAGCTGTGACTGCCAAAGCATTTTGGGGATTTCAATTAGACGCCTAAGTGGCCGAAGGCTGCCCTGTCCCCACGTGCCAACATGGCCTGCTTTGTTGCTCAGTGTGTCCCTTCAAGCAGGAATCGTGCAGGGCTCCCTGTTCAGTGCCATGTGCTGAGATGAGGGAAGGAAGGAGCTGGATTTTGGAGGGTCTGTTTCAAAGACACCAATTGTTTTGTTCCTTTCTCTGTCCCAATCACAGATGGAGAGATGAGATGAGGGTTAGTGACGGGCACCAAGGCATTCAGACCTGCACAGATGAGCTGAGTGATCCAGTCCACAATCTTGGAGCATATGTGGGAAGGCCGGCTGTCTGTGAGGGCTGAAAAGGAGGCAGATGGGCCTGTCTGGGGGGCTGGAATATTGAAGCAGCCCGGGGTCAGATCTAGCCGGTCCGCTAGAACTACAGCTCGGCTGCACCCGGGCTATGTGATCTTGGCCAGGTGACTTAATCTCAGTGTCACCTTTAAGATCGAGTCTCCATGCTTATCATCATCAAACTGCACGAGGCTGGACACAGAGAGGCCGGGCCATACAGATGGAGCTCTATTTTCCTGGTGATTCCAGAGCCCTTGGGAGGAGCAAGGCCTCTGAAGGGGCCAGGGAGCTTACTTTAGTTCAAGAACCTTTGTATCCAGGTGTCACAAAGTCCCCGACTGGCAGGTGCCATGACCTCCAGGATTACTCCAGAAATCCTGGTACCTCTCGCCTGCCTCTTCGCCAGTGAGTCAAAGTAGACTGAGCTTTTCAAAATGTCCCAAGACACTGCCCTTTGTGGTAACCTCATCCCCTGGAATGATCTCTACTGGGAGGAAGGCAGAGGGGTCATAGATCAGAATGGATCCAGCACTGTCTACACCTGGGAGGCTGGGGCTTTATGTCCGGAGAAGGAGCTTATGTAGAAGAAATTCGAGGGTTTAAAGTCGAGTTTAAATCTCAGCCCTACATTTTAAAAAAAATATATATATATATTTTATTAATTTTTTTATAGAGGAAGAGAGAGGGAGAGTCAGAAACATTGATGAGAGAGAATCATCGACCAGCTGTCTCCTGCACACCCCTATGAAATGTGCAAATAAGGTACATGCCCTTGACTGGAATCCAACCTGGAACCTTTCAGTCTGCAGGCCGACGCTCTATCCACTGAGCCAAACCGGTTTTGGCTCAGCCCTACTCTTACTGTGGGACTTGATTCAGGTGACTCCCAACTCTGAGCCTGCTTCCTTACATCGACAAATTAAATAAAATTGTAATAAAACAGCAACAATGACAATATAATAACAACAACCCAATGAGCTAATGTATGTGAAACCACTGGCATACAGTAAGCGCTCAATAAATCCCGTGAGTTGCCTGGAGCCTCCCTCTAGCCACAGCGTCCCTCTCCTCCCAGGCCCTCCTTGGCCCTTGGGCCCCTTCCTGTTCTCTTTGCTGTGCCTTCTCCTGGGGGCTCTGGGCCGTTACCTGAGAGAACTGCCAGTGAAGCTTCATCCTCTTGGCTTTGGCGTAGCTGCACTCGATGAGCCGCGGCCGGCTGTTGACGTCCACCAGGCACCGGTTGTCGTCATCGTCAACCGTGGGGCTCAGGACGCCCACGTGGATCTGCTGCCCGCTCGTGTAGTACACATTCTGGGGGTGGGGGAGAAGGAGGTTACATGCTGACGACCGGAGAGGTGGGGAGGGTTAGCAAGGTGTCTCCTCAAGCATCTAGCAAAGGGATTGCAATCCAGTGGCCTTCATATTTTTTCTATTGCAATGGACTAGAAGATATCCTTTCACATGACGACCCAGTACAACATCTGGTCCACATGTGCAACTGAAACACGGTTTTTCAAGAAATGAAACTTAGCCTCCCTACGTGCCAATGCTTTCTATTTTATTCTTCCACTTTTAAACTGATTTCACCACCCACCGTTTAAAAAATACTTCTTGAATCCATTATTTACAGGCTTGCTGACTTCCTCCCTCCATAAATACTTTATGCAAGATACTGTGCGTGGCCAGTATCTAGACAGCAGGAAACCTAGACACTCTTAGGGGGTTCAGGATCTCGGGGAGATAGGAGATATACAACTGGTAACTTCCATCCTTCCTAGGACTGTGCACAGCAGGGGTTGGCAAACTTTTTCTTAAAGGGCCAGATGGCAAATACTTTTGGCCTTGCAGGAGTATGGAGAGGTCCCCAAGACCAGCCCCAGGTTCGATGATTCACTAACTTAGGACACTGCACATGGCTGTACTCACGACTATGATTTATCACAGTGAAAGAATACAAATCAAATCAGTGATGGGAAAGGGCATGTGGGGTGAAGTCTGGGGAAACCAGGTCTAAACTTCCAAGGTCCTCTCCCGGAGGTCACACGGGTCATGCAGAATTCCCAGCAAGGAGCTGAGACAGCCTGCATGAAGTGCTCTTACAGATCAAGCACCCAGGGTTTTTTTTTTTGGGGGGGGGGGGCTCTTCACATAGACAGCCTCCACCTGGTATATATGCAAGTTCTGGACTTCTAGAAGGAAAGCAGGTATTTAGCATAAACCATATGGTTTATACAACCAGTGTAGGCACCGTAAGCTGCTCTTAGCAGAGTGGGAATGGTGGGAACCCTCTGGAAATCCAAGTTCCTGGATGCCAGTCAAGGGCCAGCCTTGTAAGGGTAAGAAGTGGGCTTCGCCTGAGCATCCTGACACTATCCCTGTGGATTTCCAGTTGACCATCAAGAACAGTTGATGAGCTGCTGTGCCTTCCAGGTGATTGGAGTTGCTGGAGAATTTAACTGATAAGATTTAGGAAATTAAACAGATGCAGTTAAGCATCTCACCCAATCATCGATCCAACAACAAATAGCCTCCAACGTGGTCCCGAGAACTGAGACCAGAAAGCTATGACCCCTGTCCTGGAAGACATACGGCCACATTGGGGAAACTAACATATCAGGAAATAACGGCCCCAGTCACACTAATATAAGAACTGTCTCTTCTTTCTTCCACTCGCCTACCCCGACTCTTGCTATGAGGAGAGCAGAAATGAAAACTTGGCACCTCCAGAACTTTCCCTGAGTGTGCAAAAGTGGGGGGGGGGGGCGGGCGGGCAGGGAGCGCCTCAGCCTTCTGCTTGGGCTTCCTCCCAAAGATGCACAGCTATTTCTGTCTTTGGGTTGAATGCACCATGCTCTCTCCTCAGGACAGAGTATAGCTCTGAATCAGCTGGCATGCCAAGATCCAGGTTTCCTGAGGCTCAGGAGCAAGGTAAGGACTATCAGGGCACCAGTCACTAACGCCCTCTCCTCCACCCCTGTCCTTCGGGCCTGGCCCTGGTCTCCAGGGCAGGCTCCCCAGACACAGCGGCCGCCCAGGTAATAGCTGAGATCAGTTCTACCCACTTAGCGGCTCAGCAGTGCTTGGGGAGATGCCCGAGAAAGTGTGCACTTACTACCGGTACGGCTGTTATTGGAGCTCTTTACTGCTCCAGCGTCTGGGAAAATCATAACAGAGACAGACAGCTGTTATTTAAAAAGCCAACCACAAAGTGCATCCTGAGCAGTACAACCTGGAAACCAGAGGATCACAGAGTGAATAGGCAGAGGATTCGCTCAGGGCGTCATTGGGACACCTCAGGCGCCCAGCCGGCGGTGGACTGAATCTCACATCAAAGAGGGGAAACCTTTCAGGGCAGATGCCCCACATTAGCCTTCTCAGGCCCAGCAGGCGCTGCTGTGTTTTTGGAGCTTGGAAGGTGGTGCCGGGAAGAAACGATTCAGAACTGTGGTTGTCATCGGGGGCCGGGAGGATGTTTTGCCAATCAGGAATATCTGACAATGTCTGTAGACGTTTTTTGGGCTGTCCTGGTGGGGGCGGGGGCCGGCTGTTACTGGCATCGAGTGGGTGGAGGCCAGGGCTGCTGCTCATCATCCTAGGATGCACAAATGGGCCCTCACCACCGAAAACGACCAAGACTGAAATGTCAACAGTGCTGAACTTGAGAAGCCCTACCTTCCACCGCTAACAATAAAAGCAGAAACACTTTTAGTTCCTACTATAAGTCAGATATAACACAAAGTTTGTGCTTTATCCCAGGGAATACGAAGAACTACTCCAGGAGATAGGTGCTACTGCTACCCCCATCCTGTAGGTGAGGACACTGAGGCACAGCAGAAGGAAAGAACCTGTCCAGGGTCGCACAGGCGGAGAACAAGAGCAGAGATTCAAACGTGGCAATTTGACTCCAAAGCCACATGTGACTTCTCACCTCACTGGCCTCCCTCCCTCAGCTCACTCCGGGTCTAGCCGGCAGGCTGGTGTGAAAGAGACTGGGAGGCTGGCTTGGAAGCTTCCCTGAGATCCATTTGAGCCATGAGGGGCCTGCACTGAGGCAGCAGCAGCGGCCGGAGGGGACTTTTACTAAAAGGCCCATAACACAGGGTGGTACGGTGATACGTAGTGCTAAGAGTAGCATCCTTCCTGTAACTCACGGCAGAGGCCGGAGGGCAGGGTGTTACCCAGTCTGTGGACATTTTATAACCCCTGGGCAGGAAAATGACACACAGCTCCCCCTTCAGTGCCAATGATTGATTCAGCGCCTTCTCCATACAGCCCATACTGCTTGGCAGGGCTACAAACCCCAGCTCTGCCTTTCATTCTGATGCTCACAAGAGAAAAATCACAGGCAAGGTGAAAGAACAAACATCCAGAGGCCCTTTCCTCTCCCTCAGGCCGAGGGCAGAAGGGATGACTAATAGCTAAGCAGGACAGCCAGCCGGGAGCCCACAGTGGGCTCCGGACCCCTCTACATCAATGCACACTTCTGCCCTCGGGGCCTCAGAGCCAAGGCCAGGCACGGACCCCCGAGGCTGAGGTCCCTCAGCATCCCTCCTCCTTCTGTCAGAGACTGAGGTGTGGCCTTCCTCAGGACTCTCCCCTCACATGTATCCAACATCACCTCACTGCCAGACTCAGCCACTGGAGAATGCAAGGGCGTGAAAGTTGAAAACAGGAAGTTAAAGCCATTCATCTGAGTGTTTACAAACTCGCTCGGTGGAGTATAAACTAACGAAGGTTTACTAAGCCTTAATGCTCCCTCCTGGGCAAAGGCCTATTGTTTTAGAGCAGCTCTTTTCACATTATGCAGCTGAGGTGGAAAACTAGCCGTGTGAAGGAGACTTAGGGAGGAATGTAGAGGCCACACCTAAAACCCCCTGAGTCTCAAGCCTCCCTCTCACTGTGAGGGGGCAGCTGGGTCCTCCATTTATTTTTATGACTTTGATGAGGGTGGCCAACAGATTGGGAAGCACCAATGTGTAGGACAATGGTTCTCAAAATTTGGCCTGTATCACCTGGGGTCTTGTTAGAAATGTACATTTTTGCACCGGTTCCCATAGACCTGCCAAATCAAAAACTCTGAGAGTCCAGGGAGCTGTGCTTTAACAGGCCCTCCAGGTAAGCCTGGTGGAGGTGAACACCTGAGAACCACTGGTCCAGTAGAAAGGTGGCCTGCTGGAGTAGAGAGCGTGGGCTTCCGAGTCAGGTGGGTCTCCACCCTCACTTCCTGGCTGAGAGCCACGCTGGGCCTTGGTTTCCTGGTCTGTAAGGAACAGTGAGGACTGAAATACTGACTGCTGCTAGCCTGGCCACAGGAGCTGCAGGGCCAGCACAAGGCAGCAGGGACAGCGGTGCTCACAGGAGGGCAGAGAAGACCCTGAGGAAAGGGTTCAGCGTGGGAGATTGGGCCCGGTCCCAGGTATGACTAGCAATGTTTCCAGTCCTGGTATCCACCTGGTTCTGTGGTCAGAAATAGCAGGCAGGGTGAGGGCATGGTGATTGAGGGCATAGTGTGTGTGTGTGTGTGTGTGTGTGTGTGTGCGCGCGCGCGCACACACACGCGAGCGAGTGGTGGTGGTGGGTGAACAAGCATAGCTTTGCTTGTTAAATCTCATTAGTGTGGTGGCTGTGACAAGAATGAGCTACTTACCAAGAATGAGCTACTGCAGGCCCCCTGCATTCAGGACGGGCTGATTTAGGGGCTTAGTTTCTGGTCATTGACCTCTGGACACAGAGGTTAGCTATCATGCTGAGGGCCACAGGGCACTGATGATAAATCAGGAATGAAGGAGAGTTATTTCCCAAATGATCCATGCTCACTGACCACAGAACCAGGTGGATACCGGGACTGGAAACATTGCTAAACCTTCTATTTGCTGTGACTATGAAGGAGCAGAAAGGTGGAACCAGGCCCTAGCTCAGTGCTCCCCATATATGAGCCTGTTTCCCTGGTGTGGGAATAGACAAGACTAAGCACCAGGCTTGGGAGAAAGGTTTATAACTGGCACTCAGCCCATGGTCAATGGTGGATCCAGCTTAATTCAGCAAACACTCCTTTGTGCCCTCCAGGGTACAGCTGGAGCTGGACACTGGGGAGCAGAGAGGAGCCAGACATGCCTCCTGGAGGAGCTCTCAGCGTGGTGGGAGACAGGCCTGCAGAAGGTGAGGGACCAGCCTCAGGGCCAGGCGTAGAGCAGACTATGGGGGTGGAAAGATGGATGAAGAGTTTGGATAGCACCCTTTGGAAACAGGACCTGTGACTTCAGTTGTGACTGTTCCTCCTCTCAGTAGCACATCTGAGAGGTTCTCAGTCT